TTAATAACATTTTATAAGAAGCTTCTCAATCATTATTGTTTGAGTTGCATCTACGAATTACTTGATTCACAATCCCGAGAGGCATTTTGGTCCCCAATTTGTGGAAATATTCTCACAATTTGTAACGACAATGAGTGGCACATCTTCCATAGAAGCCATGAACTTACAGCCAAATGAACGTTTTGGAAGGTAATAATAATAACACCAAGTAAAAGATTACTTAATCATTTTGTGTAAGAGGTAATGATACCATTTGGGTGCTTGAAACAAAGTGAAGCTAACAATCTGGCTGTTGAAAACCAAGTGCTTCAGCCACTAAATGGAATCTTAGAACTCTAGGTCGTATAAGAAGAACCAGTGGGGGGGGGCACACAAAGTACTAGAGTATTATTAGTAAGTCTATACCACAAGCAGTTATTTATCAGACAACCCAACTTGGGACTAACTATAAAGATAAAAATTTATTCAACTATATTTAGGGTTATACTCTTGCCTTATTTAATTCTTTGTTATTAGATGATGTTGATACTAAATATTAAGCAAACAATAACAACATTATTTCAGTATATCTAACTTCATTCCATGATTCTAGAACTTGGATCATATATGTAAAAGAGGATCACGTGTTTTATTTAGTACATATATGAAAGACTACGGAATGTCTGTGCGATTGTACAAAATCTTAAAATATGACTTTATGTTCATTAAGAAAAAGTAATAATATTAGAATAGAGAATAGATAAAACACGCTAATTGATAAATCCTCTCATTCTGTAATCTACTGTATTGTTATTATTATCACCATCAACGGTCTTGTCTTGTGCTGAATGAGACCCTAGAAAATTTATATTTATACAACTTAATAACTTATACTGGACTACATCATAAAATATTAGGCTAAAAATCAATGGAAGACATACACTCATTAACTTTTGATGAAATCAATTTTACTGTAAAACTTTAATAATAGACACTTCAATAAATAAAATCAGGAGATATTAACTTGAGAAAAGTAACAAAATTTATATAAATGGGATAACACTAATTTCTATCTATCAATTCCGTAAAAATTAAGCAATAAAACTATTGATGAAGCTTAAAATCAGTGTAGACCAGAATCTAATGTACATAAATAACGGTATAGAGTAATAAATATCCAATTAAAGTTAAAAACACTAGGCTAGCGATGATCGACCTTGAACTCGTTCATCTACGTCTTACCATGTCAAGGTCGGTAAGACTAGAAGTGGAAAAATCCTGGTTTGAAGACGTACTGCTGAATTGACAGGGATTTAGTAACAGTAAGGTTCCGTCGAACAACCAGCATCTGTAGTGAAGTATCCTTTCCATGACAGAAGCAAGAAGTAATAGAAGGTTTACCATAAAATTTCACACCTTGACGATCTCTAAGGATTTGAATGCCCAGCGAATTGAAACAACGATATTCTCAATATAAAAAATAAATATCACTTGGTTTTTCATTCTACATTGTACTAATGTTGACCGATAAGATAATTATGACTGAGGAGGATTCAGTATGAGTACATTAAAGAGTCTATTAAAATCAGTATAAAATACGATTTAGTAGAAAGACTGTATAATCATATGATAAATAAATTATATACTACAAGAAAACTGTTAGACAATAAACTTCGGAGAAAAGAAAATGGAATCAAGAAATGAAGTGAACCGGAACATAAATACAATAAAACTACAATCATTACAAAATTAATGACAGTCATGGTAAATCGAAATAAAAAAATATTAATAAAATATCATATCATAAATGTATTCGTTCACACACACAAAAAAAACATTGTTAGTTTATAAAGAAGAAGTTAAGATTACAACACACATACTAAAACACATTTAAAGAGGTTGATTAGTCATCTATTCACCATATAAAGACATAAATCTTATCAAATGAAATGATCGGAATTACAAACGGACAGTGATTAAATATCCAAACATCATCGTATACATGATTCAATCATAATTACACAGAAAGTATGTGCAATTCAATACATATAGACATCTCTAAAGGTAATCATAGTTAACCCGAACGTTGTTGCTACCTTGACCTGGTGGTCGTGCTTGCCTATCGTGATCAACCAATCGAGCTATACTGGCTGGAACAACTGTTCCTCAAGGTCCTACAATGCCAGACAGGTCAGTTGAAGAACAGTAAAACGAAAAGCAGCAAACTCAAGGTCTGAGGGCGAAGTCGAACTGTTGACTGTACAGAAGTGTGACAGCAGTAAGGTGTTTCCTTCAAACAACCAGCATGACAGCGATGCTGCCTTCTCACAAAAAGGGATGGGGTTAGAAAAGGTCGACCCTAAAAATACACACCTCACCTTATCCCACGGATATCCGTCTCCGGAGTTAAGGTCTCAACAAGTACGGAGCTAACACAAAAATTACTCATAAAAAGGTCGTGTGTGACCGACCTCAAGCAGTTGTCCCTTGGGCACTGCGGTCACGCTCTCAGGTCACTAAGACCACCTCTAATCCAATTTCCTTTCCAGATACCTCCAGAAGAACCCTTCCACGGGGTGGGCAACCGGAAGTGTTAACTGCCCTCATACCTCTAACAGCACCCAAGATCACTGTATTCAAAATCAACCCCCCTCTTCAATTCCTACCTCTAATCATGGTTAAAATACGAAAAATATTGCACAAAATTAACACAAAAGTTTATATGAATAGTCTCATTTAAGCCATATAATTTGTTGTACCGTTTTGATAATATATTTTACAAAATAGAAGTCTAGTAAATTAAAGGTGTAAAATGGTGTTTCAAATACGAAGATGAGCAACGGATTTAGTTAATTGATAGCAAGTGATGAATAGTACGAGATGTAACAAAATTTATTAAGTGAAATGGAAACATCTAAATGAGACAGTAAAAAAATATCACAAACAAAAATATTTTAGAAAAATACCTAATGAATAAAATATCTAGACTGATTATCAAAAGAATAAGTTCAATTTTGCCGATTCTTTCCACCTTTTTCCAAACAAATACGAAAGTTTAGAAGTTGAATTCATGAGTCGATTTAGGTTAGACCACTATTGAAAAGTTGGAAGGAATAGACGACCGTTTCGTCCTAGTATGGGACTCCTTAGCAGTGCGTATCCACGATCCCGCATACATGAATTGAACCTAAGACCTTCGATCTCGCGCGCGAACGCCAAACCTCTAGACCACTGAGCCAGCATCTAACGGTGTTAGTGTCTAACTTCAACCAATCCAATGGTGGTCTAGCTTAAATCAACTCATGAATTCAACTATTAAATTACTGTAAACTCCACAAACCCCCATTCTGAAAATATGAAAATAACAACAATGCAATAAACATGGTATTTATATTCTATGGATAATAGACTTTGGATAAGCAAATCTTGTGGAACGTTTGTATTAAGACATTGAGTTAGTACAAAAAACCGATGATAATTAAATCTCAATTGACAATAAACAAACCATTATACTTTAATCTTTTTTAGGAAGTACGCATTTCTGATCCTTTCTAAATTGATACTAGTTTAAAATAGTACTTCTCAAATTGTGAGGAAAGTAGTTAGTTGATATGTGATATAAAAGTTAGTTCCAGTCAATTGCTTTATGCATAGTTATAGATCGTCAGAATTTTGCATACATTTAGATTACATTCATCACATTCTTCAAACAGTTGTTTACTGTAACTGATGAATGAATTAATTAATTGCTATAAATCAGGATGGTTTATAGACTACAAGTTATAAACAGCTAATACGGACACGAATGAAAGAAAATGTTAATCTTTTCAAATCCTTATTTTAAAAAAATAAGTAAAACGATGGAATATTTCTTTTCATTTAGCTCGCTGTCATGACTCAACATCCTGAAATATGGGTTTTAAAACAGAGCATAGAATTAGTACCAAGTAAATGATGGTCGATCAATTTAATAATGTATCCCAATATTTTCTCTAAAGATCTAAATCGGTTAATACATCAACGAATGTAAGATTAAAATTGGAACTACATAATTTGTTGATTATCAAAAATATTACTCAAGAATATAAATAGGAATTAAGGACTGTAAAAGTGAGTTTGAAATCGATCAATTGACACTACATATTTAATGAGCGAATCGAGTAATCAGTGTAGTAATACAATTGACTTTGTAACGCTAATAGGAAAAGAGCGTCAACTAACAAGTTTGATGAACAAACAAAAGAACCGTAAGTTCTGTTCTGTCTCATTTATACAATCCTGGCCACCACATCCACATAAAGCTAGATTTAAAAGTTTAACATAGCATTCTACTGAAACTGTTTGGGACTCATCAGCTAGATGCACCTGGATTACAGAGCTGATGTTCACTTTGGGACTTGAACCTGGTGATTTTCGCTTCAAATGAGATCGTGGTATCCATTTAGCTACCGAGTTCATATAGGCACTAGCTTATGCAGGTACATCCAGCTGATAAGTCTCAAATAGGACGAAACACGCGTCCTGGATTCCGCTGCTAGCCACCTCCTATCTCTTCTTCAAATGTTTGTGATATTACTGACAATATCGAGGCAATTTACGCATGAAGTACATATGCCAAGAAAGAGACCGATCAATTCCAGTCGTAAATATCAGTGGGAAGATTTATTTGGTATTAATTTAATAATTAAATATAAAACCTACATACTGGTGTAGAGCTGTGATAAGGAGCTAATTGAAAAGGAAGGATTTCTTTGCTCAACTTGTGCATACTGAAAATAATAAGTACAAAACTGTGATTATGATTATCTTCGTTGTTCCACATAACTTTGATCAAAGTAAACTTTTGATATACAGATAAAATTAATCACAAATATTTATCCCTTCTAAACTCTGACTATATAGAGATATCAACTATGAACAAACAAGCATACCCACTAATATACGTATAATGCAATATGCATATTTTATTACATATAGATGAACATGTTATGTCATCAATTTACCCAAATTTATCTTCGTACTTTTTATTTCTAACAGCTTGAATTTGTGTACAATTTTTGTCTGATAAATTGTCATTTAAAGTTGTTACATTTTCACAGCTTGGTGCAATCATACGAAATAAACTGCCCGAATGTTCAATTAAAATCCCCATGATATGATTGATTGAATTCTGTTCTCGATAACCCTAGGATTGTAAAAAAAAGCAAATAAACATCTATATTAGAATGAAAAAAAAATATTAGACAACAACGGTAGTATTAATGAAATACGAATAACAGACGAGTGAATTCGCTAGAAGAACAAGTTTTTTCATTGAAAACAGGTTGGACACAAACAAACGCACCGCAAAATATTATTCTGCTACAGATCTCGGAACCAAAATCACTAACACACAAAAATACGTAAAAATATTTCGGTGTTAATGAATTAATTAAGGATCATGATAACAGGTAATTCAATACTGTATTGATCAAGTTGAAAACAGTTCAAGCGAACTTCATATCCTCATAGAATTTATAGAAAAAATACAAATCAGTATTGGAATTCTAAAAGGCTGATACGCCAGACAATTATTAAATGTTCAATACTAAGCGAATATTAAATAGATAAGGTAATATTTACTTTTAGCATCAAAACGACCATCAGTGATCAAATTTAAATGTAATTCACTGTTAAAGAATTAAGTGTAATTTGATAATTGAACTGTTATCCTACATTCACTAAATTTTAGGCAGTCAAGCAGTAAATGTAGTTCTAACGCACAAGAGTGTGGCTTAAATCCTGTATGTTTGACCACTGAATTGAATTAGCTTATTAGTAAATAAGGAGGGTTAGTGATTATAGCTAAATTTGTTAAACAGCGCGTAAAACTATTTATTACGTTACATCAATTATGAATTGGTGAGAAATATGAATTCGAATGACAAAACGATTTGAGATACATCACAGTGATGATAATAAGCAAACACAAAACCTTATTGAGAATCATCCAACTGACTAACAGTGATTGCATAACAATAAGTATCTCATAAGAATGAAGGTGATAACTACAATGTCATGAAAAACGAACAAACATAAGGCTAATACATACAATTATTTAATTAAAGATTCAAAGTTACTACATTGAAAAATTTCGAAACAACTATCAATAATTGTAGTTTTGCATCACGAACTGACTTTAGTCGGACAACCATTGGAAACCAAGGTCTATTTAATAGCTGTTTCACCAAAGTTTGAAACTCACAACCAGTGTATATGCACAACCCCACCAGAGATCGAATCCAGGACTTTTAGGATTCGCAGTGAGAGCCTAACCTGTTGACAACTAGTAGGGTCATGGATGTACACTGATGACGAGATTTTATACTAGGACGAAACAGCTCTGTAGCACCTTCTGGATTTTAATGGTTGTTTGACTAAAGTCGGTTTATGTTCCGAGACTAAGATTTAACTACCTCTAAATCCCCTATGCTAAAGCAAATTAACGAATACTTTCCTCAGTTGATGTATAGATGACAAATATATGTGGCAAATATTCGCTAAATAATGTAGTTTTTTAAAACCAATCACACTGTAATAAACCGCATCTCGTACACTAACGTTCAAACACAGTACATGCGGTGAATTCGAACATCTCGTTTTCTCATTGAAACCAGACAAACGAGAATCTCTCTCAGTATGCTTAAAATTGATACTACTAGTAACATACCAAAAAAGTATTCACTACAAAATGACATCAACAGAAAAAGCACCAGTGGAAAGAAACAAGTAATAACAGCATATGTATAGTTGTTTTATCTTCATTCGAAATAGTTCAGCAGTATTCACTACGGATCGATTCCATACTATGTTTAGTATGTGTTTGTGTTGCATATACTACTGAGCCCCCGATTAGAATAATAAAAAATCACAACACAATGATGCCTTGGTTTGTAATTCATAATCTCAAAGTAAATTACCTTAAAAATAACTATAAACAGACTTTTTTACAAATCAAATTATGAAGAAAAAAAAAGAACTAAGACAGTAGAAATTAAAGATCAATTATCAGTTGTTATTCATTTCAAGAGTAATACAATAAAACAAAGAGGTTTTGTCAGGTTACTAGCACACATACATACATATATGCACATATATAAGCAAACCAAATTTTCAATTTCCAAAACGGATAGGTGTATAATAATGCAATGAATTCGATCGAATCCCAAATCAACAAAAATTAATGAATGAATAGGTGAATCAACTAACCAAACACATAGAAACACACACACACACACAACTAGCACTGCTAGATTAAAACGCACTAGAATAGCTCTTCACAGTAGGCATATATATGTCTATGATTAATATACAGTATACGTAAAATAATGTATGTTGTATTGTAAATTATTTTTTATTAAAAAACAAAAAACAAAAACTTAACAAATCAATAAGCAACATAATAGAATTGCTGTAAAAACAAATATTATCAATCCATATAAATCACATAACAAAGGGAAGAAACATGAAGAAATAAGAGAAATAGATGGAGAATAAATAGGTAATAAATAAATTAGAGATAGGCAAAGAGAATGCGTCATAAGATTGCATGAATAATACTTTTAGTGGCCCTATTTCTGACTCCTAATATATTGTATGATGATTGTTATCGAAATATACATATCTCTAACCCTTGTATGTAATTATCGATTTAGACAATGACGGAATAAAAAAAAAGCCAAATATGAGAATGAATTTCCGATTCGTATGTTTCATACACTCGTTGATACAGTCGGGCAATTAGAGAAATGAAGTGGATAATGTAAAATGAAGCGATGAGAAGGCGAGTGAGCAAACTCCTTTTGACCAAGCATTACTTAATATTCATGGTCAGACCAAAAATAAGTTGCAGACACATAACGCACATACGACCCAATAAAAACAGTCAGGGTTAATAAGTGAATAATCAACAAGTTCAAAATGTGGCTTGAGAAAAGTGCATAAACTGATCTATCCAGAAACTAGAACAACCTATGTGGGATTGACATGGTACCAGCCGCTACATACTCGATCATTCAGGTGAACATATATTGCAACATGAAAAAATAATAAAATTAGAGATTCATTTAATCCTCAAATAAATTAACCTCAATATTCATCATATGAAGGGAAAAATACAGGGCATCTTATTTATTGATTTGAACACACAAATATTGGTACAAAAGGGCACCAAATACATATGCGCCACACAAGTCACTTGATTTTTGTGTGACCTGTGATACCACCCGGGTGCCCAAACCGAAGCTGGTGGTTTTCTAAAGAGGCCACACACATACACCCTTCGACCTAAACGTCTGATCCACAAGGCAGTGGAGCAACGTCAGGAGATTCAGTCCCATAGTAGCCAGTGACCAACGATTGGTTCACACACCATTTGTTCCTTCAGGATACTGGAGCCCATATGCAGTATTGATTCGGAATCAGGGTTTTCCAACTCCCCTAGGTGGATCCTCTGTGTCCACTAACCTGGTTAAAGTGCCGGACACTCGCTTTCGTCTTCTCAATTTCGTAAACGACACTTCTGCCACGAGAAGGCAGTGGTTGAGATCATTTCGAGAGGGAGAGCTAACTCTCCCCACCCTCGGCCGTACCATGGCATTTGGGGGGTAAGACCATATTCTCCGTACTGTACTAAATGAGAATGATGGCAACTTTATTTGATTTTGTTTTTCCTTAAAAAATCAGTAAAAATAAACTGATCTATTGGTGGTTAGGTTGAAACAAAAATAATTTAAACAAGCAAACAAACGCAAGAAAATGGTGGAAATTATTGGGTGAAGTATAATTAAAACAATAAAGAATAACAACATAAAATTAATAAATTACAGAGAAAAAAGAACAGTTCAGAATACTGATTTTAATTTATTCTATGTTAAAGGATTAGTAGAGAACTAAAACTTCTAAATTAATTGAAAGATGAAACATTGATGATTTTTATCTATGCATATGTTTTTAAAAAACTTTTTTAAAGAAACTCTACAATACAAGTGAACGGAACAATAGATCAATTAGAAAAGTTTTGTGTAGAATGGCTTAATTTGCATGTTGTATTTCTTAAAGATTAATCTCAGTTTGGTTACCACAGAAAATCAAGAAGCATTGGACAGTTAATTCGTCCTATAGTGGGGAAAGTAGCACTACTCAAGATGAAAATCGTAGAATAATTGAATTTTCTTAAACATAGGAATACGCGATATTATTCGTGAGATCAAAGTTCAGTGTATGTTATAAACCATGGTTAAACAACAGTAGTTTGATGTTGAGTAGTTATAGAAAGTTGGAGAGGGATTCAGGATCTTGGTTTCCTACTCCCTGGTAGTCAATGAAGAAGCATTTTAACCTACAGGGAAATTATATCATTTTGGTGATTAATATATTGCTTCTGCTTCTCCGATAGACATCATCCACCTAACAACAAACAAAAGTGCATCAACGTCAAGAGACTAAATTTAGTGGCCATATTACACAAGCGAACGATAGGGTTTGAGCATTCCCATAGGTCAAACGTAATCAAAATATTTCCTATTAAATGACGGACTATTGTACAAAATGGTGTATTGATTGGTCTTATTTGAGATTACGTCACATTGATTTTTGAACACAGAAATAATTAAAGTTGAAATAGAATCTGATTTGATATAGTGTGAGTGATACTAGCCAATTTGTGTTATTTATTCAGGGCTCTACTGACCGTAGTCTACAAAATAAAAATGCTTAGTCAGTCACCGATCTCGCTTTGCTCAGTCTTGTATCATACTGTCATGAAAATTGTGAAATGACCAATTGTTTGAGTGAATTTTTTATCATATCGACAATCCACCCATATTTTTTGAATAGGCAAATAATTACGACAGACTAATCAGAGTACTAAAAGATCTTTGGTTAGTAAATTGTTTTGTTAATTTTCATGATCAAATCATTTACAGACTATCGACTATCGAATTCAACTGTATTGGTGCGTACAAACTACCTAGTTGAAGTCTAAGCGATAACTGTGAACAACAGTTTGGAAATTTAGATAACGCAACATAGTGTAGAATCAGTTACAGTAAACCAGAAGTATTCACTTTTTATCTTAGCTTAGATAATGAATATCAAACATTTCACATCATTTCTATCCAAGTTTCAATCCTTCTTTCCGAACGATATTCTTCCATTTCTATTCATTTTTAACATTATTGACACTAACCATTGTTCTGACTCATTTTGTTATTCGTCTCGTTAGTTTCATTTATGCTTTTATTGAGATCATGAACTGATCAATGTCAGACCAATATTTGAAACCTGGAAGTATTTAGATGTCCGTTTCGTCCTAGTATGGAACTTTTCAAAAGTGCATACTCACGATCCCGTATACGAGACTCTAACTCGGGACTTTCGGTTTCACACACAGACACAAACTATAAACTACTGAGCCCTCGTCAAATAATGTTAAAAAACTCAACAATCTTCACAACTATTTACTGATATTGTGTTGTGTTAATGTGATGTATGTAGTTGATGTACTAACTGACGTACATTTGTCCTAGACTATATATAAATATATATTAACAATTATTGACTGGCTAAGAGATTATTTCAATTTGGTCAGGTTTTAAAGACCAATTAGTTATTGAATAAAGTAGTTACAATGATTAAAATAGTTTTTTTATTAAAAAATCATTCATAAAATGATAGTCATACATTATAACTAATGAGTTAGTGAAACGATCAGTAAATATTACAAATCAATAATAGTAATAATAATAATAATAATAATAATAATAATAATACTGCTAGCTAATCAATTGTACTAATTGGAATTCTATGTATTAAATGAAAAAAATATTCCCACGTAGAGTATCTATCCATCTACTTTTCTATAGAATGAAATTATCAGTTTATAAATGAGAAATAAATTTTAAAAAAGAATTCTATTATTTATATTAGTATCTATGATTATTACGGCTATTCTGTCATTAAAATCTACTGTTATTATTTACTAATTTAATTATTTATCTTAAAATTAATAAACTTTATTTATTTTGAAATTATTCCCACATCATTGTTATTACACTTAATGATATCTGCACCCAAACACAAACAGTAATAATATATACGCATGTCCATTCTTCAGTACAACTACAGTTATATATATATATATGAGTTGTGAGAAAAAAAAGTAGTAGGTATAGTGCATTTTCGCTTCATAAAAGAAGACTGTGAGATAACCAGAGCCAGGAACATAACCTCAATAGATTCAGTCTATCGATTGAAGAATATAAGATTACTTTAGACCAAAATACTTGGTGGTAAATCAATCTGGTGTTGGTTGATTACAGGATAATAATCCCGAAGCCCTGAAACTAGGAATATTCTATTTATTGGCTTTTGTTAATAATTACTTGAAAATTTATACTGTTAACAGGAGCCAAAAATATTACTATAATGAGACTAGGATTACAGCTATACACGTATAAATGACTGGACAATTACAGATATAAAAATTAGCATACAGTGTATATTATATTGGACAAATTGAATACACCCTTCACCTGTGTATTCGCAAACACTAACTACAATTGAAACAATATGATACTGTTATCACTGATATCAATATGCATGAACATGAATGTGATCGAAGAAAAGTCTAAATTCTGGATCGAGAAGACAAGAATAATATCAAAGAATCCTAAAAAACTAGAAGACATTCAGATTCATTGGTAAACGGTTAACAAATTAATATAGACCATATATATCACCCTATACGGAAGACGACAATGAGTCACAATATCAAGAGGTAACTGAAAGCAATAGTCAACAAGAATATGAAAATAAATGAAGACAACCAGACACCGACAAGGCCATTAGAACGTACTGATGAAACAAAGGTGAAAAGCTCACTTCTACATAAATTAGGCGATGTCAATATTGTCCAGAACGACGATAAATCCATTACCCTACAATGAAAGTTTCTAGTTCAGATAGCACAATACTATTGAAATTTTACCAATTGTATTGATCATAATAATACAAACATTTATATGTATAATACACTACAATCAATAATTTAGAAACTAACACAAATGAATTCTAGAACAAGAACTGTAACCGTTTTACACATCAATAGTCAAAAGATAACACTCTATCCAAATACATTAAAATGTATTAAAGACGTCAAACAAAAGAAATAAATTTTCTTTATATTATGCCAGATAAACAAAATAATCGAAATTATTTGCATAAATATAGAACTATATATATATATATATGCACTTTAGTGAATGAGATTGTGAATCTTATTTTAAATTTTTATTCTCAGTCTAATAATACTATCACTAAGATCATTGATTCTATTGGTTTGAGTATTTGGACAACCAAAGGAGTGTAATTTGATCGAGATAACTTAAATATAATCGAAGATTAGAAAGTGCTGAGCAAGTGATTCGTATCTGACAGCCAGTAGGATATATATACATAAATGACCACAGATAAAGATTATTTTCAAGGGGATGAAATAGATGTATCCCAAATGTTATGAAGTGAAGTTACTGTAACCTCAGTTCCTGCTGCACTGGCTACGTACCTATATATATATATATATATATATATATATATATATATATATATATATATATATATATATATATATATATATATATATATATATATATATATATATATATGAAACTTGAATTCCGAGGGGAAAGTCTGTGAAATAATAGTCAAGTTTAACCTACCTACTCCACTAATGCCGGGAAAGTCACATCATTTAAACAGAAAATCCCAATAGTCATTCCAAGAAAAACTTACCAAGTTTTCAGGTGTAAATCGAAAAACATTAGGTCCGAATACAATACCTAATGATTCAATCGACATTTTATTATCAGATTGGTAAACAGAAACATGGTGTAAAAATTGGCATAAATGCTTGAGTAGAGTATAATTGACCACTGGCAATTGAGCAACTAAATTTTCCAACTGAATTAGATAAGCATCTTGATTTGAACGATATTCCGAATGAATCTTAATGAAATAAAACGAAAAGTAAAATAAAAGAATAAAAATGGATAAGTAAAGTAATGTAGAATTTAACCAATGCTTATAAAATGAGCAAAACAATTAAATAGACAAATAAAAACGTAATGTATTTCCTGAGAACATCTGTGTACTAATCTTTATTGATATATTTTAAATTAATTTCATAACAATAGAATGAACAATTTGAAAATGGAAGTGAAAATGCTGATAAAAAAAATAGTGGTAAACAAAAGTGAAAGCAGATATTAAAACCCACAGGAAAGTAAAATGTAGGCCGATCGATACCATTTCTTTATCTAGTCACTTAGATAATGTTTTCAACTTATTCATATTATCATATTAGACAGCCAGTTGGGGTAGTTGGTAAATAGGCATGATACAATCAATGATGTAGTTTTACGCAAATTTTTAAGTCAAATTACACACAGTTACCAACCTCTTGTAATCTCTAATTCGTGAGGATTATAACCAAAAAGTTCACCGGTTTCATAAGCAACCATTGAGTCAATCAATCATAAACAAACTACAGACTGGGACAGCGAGACGATTAGCAAAGAGTTAAAATGATAGATGATAGTGAAAAAGATTAAGGACCACAAAGTGAGAGTAGGAAAGGAGAGATGAATTCGAAGAATAAAACATGCGAAATAATACTGAGGTTTAAGATTTCGAGGTAGATAAAGAGACAATGCATCTGCTCCCTTGATACCGATTCCAAGACATGTCAATTATCGTCTCCCATTATGGCTTACGATAATTGAGTGAACTTACTTACTTACGCCTGTTACTCCTGATGGAGCATAGGCCGCCGACCAGCATTCTCCAACCCACTCTGTCCTGAGCCTGCTTTTCTAGTTCCATCCAATTTTCGTTCATTTTTCTCATGTCTATCTCCATTTCCCGGCGTAATGTGTTCTTTGGTCTTCCTCTTTTCCTTTAGCATTGAGGATTCCATGTGAGGGCTTGTCTTGTGACGCAGTTGGGTGCTTTCCTCAATGCGTGTCCTATCCCCTTCCAGCGCTTCTTCCTGATTTCTTACTCCGCTGGGATCTGGTTTGTTCTCTCCCACAGTACGTTGTTGATAATAGTGTCCGGCCAACGGATCCAAAGTATTTTGCGTAGACAACTGTTAACAAACACTTGTATCTTCTGGATGATGGCTTTCGTAGTTCTCCAGGTTTCCGTTCCATACAGTGGAGTATCCTTGCAGTTACCGCTGCGTCTGCTTTCAGTGCCTCTGCTGGAATGTTGTCTGGTCCTGCTGCTTAGCTACTCTTGATTTTTCTGATGGCCATGCTGATTTCTTCAATTGTCGGTGGGCCGACATTGATTGGGAGGTCCGTAGGTGCTGCTTCGATATTGGATGGGTTCAGTGGGGCTGGTAGATTCAAGAGTTCTTTGAAGTGTTCTACCCACTTGTTTCGTTGTTCTTCAATGTTGTTGATTACCTTGCCTTTCTTGCTTTTCACTGGTCGTTCTGGTTACGATTATTCCCAGAGTTTCTTTGTTATGTCATACAGTTCTAATCGAGTGAATCCCGGCCGTATATTCTGCACCTGAAAACACGGCTCGGTTCAACCACCGATGTTTATGTCATATCCTGGTTTGACTGTCTCGAGTTTCCTTCCAACCCATTCTTGCACCGATCAACTTTGTGTGCTGAGGTGGGAATGGGTTGTGTATGCGTAATAGCTTATGTCTCATCCATCTAGGTCGACGAAGATTCAGTTTCATTTTTGATTAAAACTAACATCGATAGTGCTCACTCGCTAGTTCTACTAAAAGCGAACAATTTTTTGAAGAAACCTATATTAAAATGTTTACAGCTTACGAATACCTTCTATTTTCACAGAGGATATTTCACAGCCATAGAGTGATATGGAAAGAAACGTTGCAAAGCAACTTTCAAAAATGATAATTGAAGTAGAATTTTGGACGAACTCCATTTTTTTCTCAAACTTGGGTTAATAAGGGTTGATGACATAATTAATGAGAAAATCCAGAAATTAGAAATTTTTATTACTCTAAAAATAGTTGTGAAAGTTGATCAGTATTATTTATAACCTTCAATAAATATTATCTGAAGCCTTAATAATCTAAATAATCACCAAAGTAAAATTAAGTATACACTGAACAATAGTGTAGTATCGAATTTTCATAATTATAAACAAATGTTTGTATAGCTATCAAAAGCTTAAACAGGAAAGTCACACGTTTTACTTGGTTACGTATAAACAACACACGATATATACTACATAGAATATATTGCTTATGTTACCCATAAAATACTAAGTTGTTACTTAAAACAGTAGAACTAATCTGAAAATATTCAAAACAATTATCATCAAAACATTACTAAAACACAATAGGGAAAGTATGAATACAGTGAAACACTGCCAAGCAACAAGCAGTTATAGAGCTACGTTTTGGGTTAGTTTTAACTATTCGCATATTTGAAAGGTGCCCACTCCAACGCAGCATGGAATGATATCCGAAAAGCTGTGGAAACAGCAGTCATATCTGCTAGTAAGGTAAACCAGAAGGTTAGGGAGCAACACTGGATCTCAGCAGCATCTATCGCACTGATAGATACTCGAAAACTCATTACACCTGACTCTGAACATAATGAAGAGCGGAGTCAGCTTAAGCGCAAGCTGACAAGAAGTCTACGCAATGATCGCGAACAGTGGTGGGTAGCGAAAGCAAGAGAGATGGAAAAGGCAGCGGCAATAGGTAATAGCAGACAATTGTTCAGACTTGTTAAGGGAACCGGTATTAAGAAACCGACTGTTAACGAAACACTCTCAGAGAAAGATGGACATATACATTCTCAATCCAGGAGATTGGATCGATGGGCAGAACACTTTAGGGATCAGTTCAACTGGCCTTCAGCCACACTTCGGTTTCCCACGATCTCTAGTCAACCTGAATGGCAAGTTAATGTAGGTCCTCCGCTCTTTACGAAGTTGAAAAAGCCATAGGAAATCTGAAGCGAGGGAGAGCAGCAGGCCCTGACAGGTTTACTCCTGAGATTTTTAAGGATGGTGGTCCAGTATTAGCAGTGAGATTAACTGAGGTCTTAGGTAGAATTTGGGAACTGGACGTAATCCCATCTGACTGGTCTCAATCACTGATTGTGCCAGTCTATAAGAAAGGACAAAAGTCCTCTTGTGACAATCACAGAGGAATCAGTTTGACTAATATAGTGTCTAAAATATTAGCTTCAATAATACTTCGACGCCTAACCAAAGCTCGTGAAGAGCAGACTAGAGAAAATCAGGCTGGTTTTCGACCTGGACGTGGTTGTATAGATCAGATATTCACACTACGTCAGGTTCTAGAACACAGACACACATTCAGACGCCCCACAATGGTAGTATTTCTCGACCTTAAGGCGGCATTCGACTCTGTTGATCGTGAGGTTCTATGGCAGTGTTTGTCACTGAAAGGAGTACCAAAGAAGTACATTAACCTTATAAAGGCTCTCTACTCGAACACAACTGGTAGAGTGAGAGCTTATGGCGAACTGTCATCAGAATTGATTACCTCAAGTGGTGTTCGTCAGGGCTGTCCACTCTCTCCATTCTTGTTCAACTTTGTCGTCGACGTACTTTTAGAGATAACACTCTCCTCATCTAAATTTCCAGGGGTTGAACTTCTACCGGGAGGTTCACTTGTTGACTTAGAATATGCTGATGACATAGTTTTATTTGGTGAAGACGCTGACAAAATGCAGAGTCTTCTGACCACTCTAAGCAACAATGCAAGCATGTTCGGGATGCGATTCTCTCCCTCGAAATGCAAAATGTTGCTTCAGGATTGGGTTGCATCGACACCCGAACTAGTGATAGGGAGTGAAGTAGTTGAGTGTGTCGACCGCTTCACTTATCTTGGAAGTCTCATCAGCCCTTGTGGTCTGGTGTGTGACGAAATCTCAGCACGGATACAGAAGGCTCGACTAGCTTTTGCCAACTTGCGTCATTTATGGCGTAGGCGAGATATCCGTCTATCAACCAAAGGACGGGTTTACTGCGCAGCAGTTCGTTCCGTCCTACTTTATGGCAGTGAAACATGGCCGGTAAGAGTAGAGGATATCCGTAGGTTACTAGTATTTGATCATAGGTGTCTTCGAAATATTGCTCGTATATCCTGGGACCATCGAGTAAGTAATGCAGTTGTTAGGAAACGGGTACTAGGTAAGGATGGCAAATCAATTGATGACGTAGTGAAACTTCATCAGTTGAGATGGCTGGGACACGTGTTACGTATGCCCAACGACCGACTGCCTCGACGTGCGATGTTCAGTGGTATAGGAGTAGGTTGGAAGAAAGCTAGGGGCGGCCAGACCAAAACATGGCACAAGTCCATGAAGTCACTGACAAGTGGTCTGAGTCATGTCGGTAGGTGTAGACTACCTGGTTGGGGACCGCGAGATGATAGCAACCGATGGTTAGAGACCCTGAATGACATGGCTCAAAATCGTTTGCAATGGCGCAGGTGCATACACTCTTTGTGTTCTCCCAAATTTTGATCTCCTTATTCCTCCTTGTCTCTCTTTTTCTCTCCTCTCAAATTTATTTCACTGTATTATACTCTTTAAGTAACATCTCCAAACACTAATCTTCCCGATTACTGCTTATACTCTTATTGCCTCTACTACTACGGGATTTGAATCGACCACTGCATCTCTATGCTAATGTGGTATGACAACTCGAACTGATGTACGAACGTACGAAGTTCTACGTTGTTACTGACTGATATTTGAAAGAAATGACGTTTTATGTAAAAGTACGAAACTAAATGACCTAGTACTACAGAGACGTTAGTATGTTTAGAGTTTAGGGTCACAGGAATAATCTTCTGGAAAATTTACATTACCAGTCACTAGGTCATATCGTCTAATTCTCAGTGCCAATTAGACATCGGTTGTTACTACACGGTCAATGAAAATTTGCACCCAATTTACTTTTTAGTTGAATTAAGCT